CAATGTGATTGAGGGAACAGTTTGTAGCTCAGACAACTTCAATTATTTGATATTCATTCTATCTACAGACTGCTCTCCAAATTCCTATTTCTTTTTTGACTTAATGCACTTATCTGCATAGTGATCAGTCTCATCACAATTGTAGCAAGCATTCTTATCTGATTTTCCACTTCACTTTGAGTTTGTAAACTGAAAATTGAAGATTCTCTGATGTTGATTTTCTCTCTGTCATGATGAGATTCAGATCTTGTTTCTATAACTCTAATCTCATGGTTCATGAGCTTGATTTAAATAGAATGATGTTTCATCATGATTGATATTTATTTCTGAAATGAATTGTGACTTTGAATTGAAAGTGAAACTCTTAACACTAAATTACAATCACATCACAACTGTCTGAATTTCATTTAGTTTCTCTGAGAGGTCTTTCTGTTCATCCAGCTTATTGCACATAGATTTGTCATATTGCCATAGAAAAGAATGTTTGATGAACTTATTCACACTCTGTGTCTCTTCATTCACTTGTTGCAAATGTTATTAAAATTGTTTCAATCAGTCAAAGTCTGATTCATCATCTCTTTTATGAAGATGAAAAAGATTTCTTCAGATCAATCAGATTCAGTTTTCAGAATCATTTAGTCATAAAAGTAGAAATTTTTTAAGTTCAGTTCAGATGTTTAGAGTAGAGTTCTGAACTAAGTGTGATTCTCAAAGATCTTTCTCATTATAGTTCAACTCTGTGACTACATACTTCAGAGTTTCATTGTCATTCAGATCACTAGCATCTCAGATGAATTCTATTTGAGAAATAAACTGTCAGTAAACTGCATAGTTCTTGATTTAATAGTTGATCTTATATTGTGAAGACTTGATGACTGAACTCTTCTTTGAAGAATTTGAATTAGAGATCAGAACATTAAGTGATTCTGTTCACTCATGCTTTCTATTCAGAGTTCATAAACTCTACTGTAGTTCTTAAATTTTTTTCATGAGATGTATTCACTCTCTTAAGTTCTTAAAAGATTCTGTGTTCTCTGAAGATGATTTCTCAGTCTGAATTATGCTTTCATTCAGATTTATTGTCACACTCAGTGTCTCAGCTAACTCTGATACTGAGAAAAGAGTTGAGAATTCAGTTTGATCTCAGTTGTTCTGTTTTGTGAAAATCATTGTTGGGCCATCTGCTTATTTAAGTGGCAAACTGTAAGAATTGAGTGGTTGCAGATAATGTGACAATGGCTTACAGTCTTGGTAAATAAGATTAGATTGAGTGAGAGATGGTTATGAAGAGATCTAAGTATAAGAGAGAGAGAGATAACTTATATTGCTACAACAATATCTAGAGTCTCTAGATATGTTGTCACTGATCTTCATAAAGAAGCATCTGTGGCAGATTTTGTGTGTTCAGCTTTGCTAGTGAGATTATGTAATCAGTCACAAAATTTACAAATCTCAGATGACATGGAGCATGATCATCTAAGCATCAAGAAGATTTTACAAATCTCTTTTAGATGATGAGATGAATGTAAGAAGGCCACAACACAGAGTCTTACACATAAAGAAAGATTATTTACAAAATCTCTCAAAATTCATAATTATTAGAAAAGAAATGCTTCTCTGAAACTTTTATCAAAAAAAAGAAGAATGTTGTTGAAAAAGATGAAGAAAAAGAAAGAGAAAGAAAATTAAGAAAGAAATATTTATATTCTCAAATTTGCTAAGTATTACTAGATAAATTATAAAAAATGACAGTTTGCTATGAGAATCATTACAATCATAAAGAAGCAGTCACTTTTACTGTAATTCTACTGTCATATCTACATCTAGAAACTAAGATTTATAAAGAGAGAATTAAAACCATGCAGTGATCATCTTATACTTTTCATGTCAAAAGAAAAATTTTGAAAGAAACAATTACAGACAAGCAGTCACTCTTACTATAATCTTGATATTATATTCATATCTCAAGAATCAAGATTTATAAAGAAGAGAGAAGCTGTAAAACTTTATGTCATGATCATCTTACATTTTTCTCATCATTTCAAAGAGATTTGTAAGAGATTTTTAAAATCTCTGTAATGCTTAGATAATTATACTTCAGATCATTTAAGATTTATAAACTTTATAACTGATTACATAATCTTATTAATATAATTGAACACACAAAATCTGTTACAGATGCTTCTTTATGAAGATTAGTGACAACATATTTAGAGACTTTAGATACTGTTGTACTAATATAAATTATCTCTCTCTCTCTTATACTTAAATCTCTTCAAAATCATCTCTCACTTGATCTAATCTCACTTATGAAGACTGATAAACCATCATCATGTTATCCACAATCTCAATTCTTATATAAAGATTTCATTACTATTAATAATATTTTTCAATCTTTGAATCTATTGTTTTTTCTTAATAAGATTGAGCTTTGTCTTAAGCTTCATAATGATTTAATCTACATTATAAAAAATATTCTGAACTGTAATGTTCTTTTTTTGTTTTGAAATGACAGCTTCTGATGTCTGTTCTCTTAAAGTTGTTCTCTCTAGACTGACTGCAGAGACAGAGATTTTCCAACTGAGATTCCATTTCTAATGAACTAATAGAGAATTGAAATGAAACTGAGACTTAATAGTTCAAACTGAGATGAAACTGAAACTTAATTTTCAAGTACTGAAATGAAAATGAGTCTTAATTCAAAGAGATTGAGATTATTTAATTAGAGATAGAGATTCTCAATTTCTCTAAACTTAAAATAAATTTTTATTTTATACTATTTTTAGTATTAAAGTCATATATAAATATATATATGCATTGTGACTTAATATGTCAATTTTTCTATTTTGTCATAAATTGATGTAAAAATACACTTTCAAAATAAAGTTTGGAAAAAAATTGAAGTTTTTTTAGAAATAGAAAAATGTGAGGATGGGACTTAAAATAAAAAATTTAAAACTGAGAAGAGAATGGGGCTTTTATTCATATTTTGAGCTGAAATTGAAACTAATTTTTAAATTTTCAGAAGAAATTGAAATCAATTCAATTGAATTTAACTTTCAGTTTTGTTTCATTGAGATCTCTTTGAGATTTCAATGATCAGTCTAACTTAATTAATGCTTTAAAAAGTTTAAATAAGTCAATGAATGTTGACATCTTAGAGAGAACTAGACTGACTGTTGAAATCTCTTTGAAATTTTAATGAATCAAGACTAAAAGTCAAACTAAATTCAGTTGATTTCAATTTCTTCTCAAAATTTGAAAGTTAGTCTCAATTTCAGCTCAAAATATGAATACAAGTTTCATTCTCTTCTCAGTTTCAAATTTTTTATTTTAAGTTCCATTTCTGAATTTCTCTATCTCTAAAACAACTTTAATTTTTTTTCCAACTGTATTTTGAAAGTGTATTTTTACATCAATATATGACAAAATAGAAAAATTGACATATTAAGTCACAATGCATATATATATTTATATATGACTTTAATACTAAAAATAGTATAAAATAAAAATTTATTTTAAGTTTAGACAAATTGAAAATCTCTATTTCTAATTAAATAATCTTAATCTTTTTGAATTATGTTCTATTTCCATCTCAGTACTTGAAACTCAAGTCTCAGTTTCATCTCAGTTTGAACTGTTAAATTTCAGTCCCATTCCAATTCTCTATTAGTGCATTAGAGACAGGATTTCAGTTGGGAAATCTCTGTCCCTGTGGTCAGTCTACTATATAGTAATAGAAGAACTCATCACTGATCTTCTTCACAGAAGATTAGTGTGACTTTAAGTACTAGTGAGATTAGAACTACACTAACTATTAAGATGTCAGTCTCTAGACCAGATCTAGTCTACAGTGGGTATGACTTTTACATAATTTTTAGTTTTTTCAAAAAAAAAAAAATTCTCTATAACAGATTTCTGAAGTTTAAAATGCTTATTTACTGTCAGATTAATATACTGCCATAAATTATAAAGATTTACTAAATGCTGAATTTCTTTAATTTTTTCCTTTTAATTTTTAGAGCTATTCAGCATAACAACTCTTCTAAATAATTTATTTATTTTTAATTAATTATTAAAGTTGAAATATTAATTTTAAATTATGATATTCTGTAGACTTAAATTGATAAAATATAAATTTATTAAATCTTTATAAACTTCATAATTAAAGCTTAAGCTTTAATAGAGAATTTAATATATAATTATAAAATACTAATAGTGATCTTAAGTAATATAAATTACAAGAGTAAAATAAAGTAATTTTAATATATTTCAAGATAATAATTAAATTCTTGAAAGAGTTCAGACTTATAACTATTAAATAATAGAAAAATATGTAATGATCATATAACTGAGAATCTATAATATTACATCTACTCTATTTTTAATAAATAAAATAACTGTACTTATAGTACTTATAGATAAATATGCTATAATCAAGACTATGAGAAAAATATATGAAAAATCTCTAGCTAATCTTCATCAGCTCAATAGTCAAAGATAATGAAATCAGTACCATGGTTGAGAAGAGAAGGTGGTGAACCTACAGTTCTCTAGTTCCTCTTTTGGGGACCTGGTCACCTGACAAGTCACCTGACTCCTGCTCAACATATAGGCTCTCAGCCACATGACTAATAGACTATCACGTGTTTCCGTGTTGTCTGACATTTCCCCCCATATTAAGCCATAAGTACTTTGCATTGTACAGAGGACATACATATTTATATTTACAATCAGTTTTACTATTCATTAGAGTTTGGAGCATTATATCCGTAAAGTTGGTATGGATTTCCTTTAACCAGCCTATTCATTATTCTTTCCCTAAAGGTATTTATATACCGGCACATATATTCTTTTCTGGCTTATCTGTACATATATTACTCCAAAGACAACAATATCAGTGTTAATCAGAAGACAGTGAAATGTCAACAAGAAAGCCAAACATACGGCATAAGCAAAGATCCAAACCATGGGTGTCCTTGAGTTTAGGTCCTACCTCCATGGCGGTTGAAGATCCGGAGCAGAAGGAGGTTGTTGTTGCGAAGCGACCGGAGCATAGAAGACGCGCAACGAACAACAGTGTAGCCCAAACCCGCGGACCACCGCATAATTCTTCGTTGCTATCCGAGAGATCGCCTTGGATGCTGGCGGACCTACGGAGCCGCCCTAGCTATGACTCGGAAAGCCTTAAGGACTTGCGAAACTCCACACCCTCAATCCCTGCAAAAAATATTACAGAGACGAGCAGCCGTGATACCTGCCGGCCAACGCCGGATATTAAAATCAGGTTCGGCGAAATCGCAGAATGTGACGTTTCCCCTAACATTCCAAGTGAAGTGGAGATTCGAGAAAAGAAAGCGCGCCGTGCTCTCTTGGGACAGGAGCTTCAATTCACTTCCATAGTGGTTGACCCCGGTAGCACCTCCCCCCCCACAGAAAATCCTGGGGATTATATGGTATCAGACGATGAGAACGACTTCGCGTTCTGTACCCTGGATCCTAGTCTGCCTGTTGGAAACGTGGTGTTGCAACAACGTCGTGCACAAACAAAAGAAATAATCAACCAAGCGGAGGCACTGTCGATGGATAATGACTCTGATAATGAGCGCGAGCTGTTATACGAAGCAGCTCAGATGCGCGCGAGCATGGATGGCAGACGAGGTCACACAAAGCTTTCCCTGACTATCCCTCCAGCAGGACTTACTCCTCTTCCAAATTTGGACTACTCTCTTCTACGTTTAGGCAGTTTGCTAGTCGAACTGGACCAATCTAAACATAGCCTTGTTGATCGGCTTGAGGAAGTACGTTTCAAGAACTGTGAAATCTCGCAACGTGAAGCCACAATAGGAGTTCTGCTCAAGGACGCCGGGGACTTTTATGGACGCCTAAAGAAAGAACTTATTACCCACAGAGCAGAGTGATTCTGAGAATCAGATATGTTAACAGTGGTTAGTAAATGGTTGGTTCATGGTTTCGATGCGTATCGCGGTTTTATGCAACCGCTCTGGTTGATCAAGGTGTTTTCACACTGCTAGGTTGGCAATAGCATAATAATATAATGTCGCCGGATGCACATTCTTTTGTAGATCTAGTTAATCGTGAAAGAAGTACTCTGTACTCCGTACTCTGCAACAACTTTTTGCTGGAGGTAGTTGTAGGGAGTATTTATTGAACACGAAGCTACTCCTATAGGTATGAGTGAATCAAGCCACGGCAAATGCGCCAATCGGAGCGGAGGGTCGTGAGTGGTCCGACACTCTGATCTGATACTCGGTACTCGGTACTCCGTACTGTTCCTGTAAAAAATATCTGAGGACACGTCTCAAGAAGAGAGTTTGGCCCTAGGGAAACGGAATCACATAACTAACTTACTCCCTGCTCTGTCCTCCTTACTAACTAGTTAACTACCTGTATGCACGGAGTACATACATACATATAAATAACATCCAACATCGCACTTAGGCTTGCAGATTTCACATCCCAGCCCCAGCACGCCGCTATCTACTCAAAAAATGCCAGAGAGCGGTGAAAATATAATCTTATCGCCTGAAATTCTCGAACGCATGCCATTGCCTTTACTCTTCTTTTGATTACCTGATAATATCCTAATTTGGACCACGTACTATGGTCAAGATGGGATCCGCATCCAAGCTCTTCTACCTTGCTGTCTTCTCATTCCTAAAGTCAGGTCATGCAGATCCCCACGTTAATGTGTCTCAGTCGTACCCCTCCGACCAGTGTGTTGTAAGTCTAGTTGTGAAATGTGTGTTAACATTCCCTAATGTGCTTAGATCAATACAAAATCCACCGTGTCTGATACCTGTACCTCTTTTGCGACACTCAATGCTGTGAACAAGGATATCTCTCCTGTTTTGAAATTGATTACGCACCACAGTGATTTCTTCTCATACTACCGCCTGAATTTGTTCAACAAACGTTGTCCATTCTGGTCAGATGATGCCGGTATGTGTGGAAATATAGCTTGCGCCGTTAGCACCTTAGACTCTGAAGAGGACATACCACCTACTTGGAGGGCTGAAGCACTAAGTAAGCTGGAGGGTCCGAAGGCCGGACACCCAGGGAAGCAGCAGCAGCAACAGAGACCCAAGAAGAAGCCCCTTCAAGGGATGCTTGGAGAAACTGTCGGTGAGTCTTGCGTGGTAGAATATGATGATGAATGTGACGAGAGGAACTACTGCATTCCAGAAGACGAGGATGCCATGGCGAAAGGGGACTATGTGAGTTTGGTCGATAATCCGGAGCGGTTTACTGGCTATTCCGGTCGCGGCGCCTGGCAGGTTTGGGATGCAGTTTACCGGGAGAATTGCTTTTTGAAACCACCCCAGCAGTCTTCCTTACTGCCGAAAGGCTTAAAACTTGAAAAAATAAAGGCCGCGCAGGATTTCCGAACCGTTCTTGAAAAATATGAAAGAAACCAAGTCGAGAGCGCTGCTTTCCGAAACGAAGGATATCCAGTAGATGATGAATGTCTGGAGAAGCGGGTGTTTTACCGTTTGATTAGCGGGATGCATGCGTCTATATCAACGCATCTTTGCTGGGATTATTTCAACCAGTCTACCGGGGAATGGCTACCAAACGTGCAGTGCTATGCAAAAAGATTGCACCAGCATCCCGAGCGAATATCTAATGTTTATTTCAATTTCGCTCTTTTGTTACGTGCCGTTGCTAAATTGCGATATCACCTCAAGAACTACTCGTTCTGTGCAAGCGACCCAGAGCAAGACTACCAAACAAAACAATGGGTGTCACAGTTGACAAAAACGCTTGCTTTTGAACCAAAAATATTTGACGAAAGCGTCATGTTTCAAGACGACGGTGGGAGTGACTTGAAAGAAGACTTTCGTAATCGGTTCCGAAATGTCAGTCGACTTATGGATTGCATTGGGTGTGACAAGTGCCGACTCTGGGGGAAGCTTCAAACTGCTGGTTATGGCACAGCTTTGAAGGTTCTATTCGAATTTGAAGATGCCGAGACGAAAGACGATATATTTCTCCGTCGAACAGAGCTGGTTGCTCTGGTCAATACTCTTGGAAGAGTTTCTCATAGTGTATCTGCCATACAAAGTTTCGAGGAAGCCCTTAAACTGGAAAAGCAGTTTTTGCCCGCGCATTCAACATCTCAAACCTCACATGTCAAACGTGAAACTAAACCTGCTGCAACCTTTGGTACAGAGCCCAAGGAGGCTATACCATCCGCACTGGATCGGCAAGAAAGCGGTGAAAGTACGGCTGGCGCATTGCGGGATGAATGGCGACTGATATGGCGGGCATATATTTTTGTTCTTCGAAGCTGGGTCGCATTCCCAAAAACAGCGTAAGTCGCAACTTCGCGGCTTTTTTAAAGCAGAGACATCCGTGGTGCTAATAGGATCTACAATTACAGGTATCATATCACAATCATGGAATTAAACCGCCTCTGGAACTATTGGCTTGGGCTGCCCACGCCTCCCCGTTCTTGGAAATTTGAATTTCCCAGTAGGGACGAGCTTTAGACAATTCAAGTACTGATTATGTAACAAGCTGCAAGAACTGACAATTTGCGTGAAGACACCCTAGGAACCCTCCTGCAGTTTATTTACATACGAGAACGCATATACGGTTGGATCATGGTTAGGAAATAGATGTGCAATACCGCGCATTCACAATATGAAAATCTCCCTTCGAAATTATACTTGATACTTAAACCTAGCTATACCAAAACTGACCTGGTGAAGTACTCAAAAAGTAAATTCTTTTCTAAAAATTTCTATATCCATCCCGTTAACAACACTATCACTCAAATCTCGGCGGCCCATCTGGTTGAAAACGCGCCGTAGTGTGTCATATAAATTGGTACTCTGGTTATGAGTAATATGGGAATCTGTAATACCATCCCCGACTTCAATAAGCGGCGGGGACATACGATTGTCAACTGCTTGATGCATTGCGAGGGCGGCGAGAAGATGTTGCGCAGCCTCGGGGTAACATCCGATATTGATGCAAGAGACGCCAAGGTTATATCGCGCGCGAACAAAGTTAGGGCGGATCGTTAAAGCTTTCTCGTATGCCTCGATAGCCTCCTCGGACCTGCCCGAGTTGGCAAGTGTTGCACCAAGGCGGTTCCATAATAAATGAACCTGTTCCCGCTGGTTCGATGTACCCATTTCGTTGGACGCTAAAGCAGCAGAGAAGCAATCAACAGCTTTATCATACTCTTCAGCTCCGTAGAACAGCACCCCTAATCCGACTTGTACATCCGGATCCATATGTTCGCCCTGTGGTGAAAGCTGTGCAGCACGAATATAAAGATCCGTAACTTTTTGTTGCAGTAAATGTCGGTCTGTAAACCCCATGTCTGTATCTGGAGTTATTTCTTGTGGCTTGATTATTTGCGGGTATTTTACTGATAGCCATCGTTCTAGGGTCCGAAATGCTGTGGAGTCGTAGCCCTCATTTGTATAAGACACTGCAAGGCCCATAAGAGAATCTAGATTGGCTGGGTTTAACTTGAGCGCCTGTTCGTAGGCCCGAATGGCAGGGCTCTCTTTCTCGTTTTGTGCCTGGGCAGACCCCAGCATCGTCCAGGCTTCAGTGTGTTTGGGGTCTCTCTGAACGGCAGCTTCAAACGCTAAAACAGCAAGTGAAAGATTGTCACCTTCTCTCATCATTCGAACTCCTTCTTCAAAAGGGCTGTCATTCAGTCGATAGCTGTTTTCTTCCTCAAAGAGATAGTCGCCAAGTTGAGGATCTCTAAAATCGTGCGTATTGATGCTGCCATCAAAGTTATCCCATTCACCAAAATCCCCAGTGTGCATATTTTCTAAACCGAGCTCCTCGTCAATCATTTGCCTGTTTTTCGAGGGCTCAGTTTGGATACCTCTCCAGATACTTTCAAATTTACCAAATTCGCTAGTTTGTGTAGGTACTGACCTGTCTAGATCGCTAAGCTCTGTTTCGATTGCAGCAGTTGCTTCATCATCTAGAGATTTTTGCCCCGCCGCATCTATCTCCGCAAACTGAGCTTCCCAATTAGTTTCATCTAGCTCTACCATTTTCCCCTTTCCCTTTTCTTGTGACGCTGGGAATTGCTGCAACGTCATGGGAGTGTATGATGGTCCCATAACGCCGGGAATATAAGCGTGATAGCCCATGCCCATTTGGGGCTGATATGTTGACATCATGGGGTTCTGCGTCATAGGGCTGGTCGTTTTTGCGGCGTTCTGTTGTGAAAAGTGTGTAAACTCTGAAGTCGAAAATCTAGTAGCTTGAATAGTAGAATTCCGCTGACTGGGGAAAGCCGCTTCTATTCTACCTTGCTCTACTGGATCAAATTCGACGGCCCAACTGGGTGATCCGCCCCTTGGAGCGGGTTGAAAATTATCGAGTTCTCGACGCATTTGTGTCATGGTAAACGCCTGACTCGAATTTCGAGGTATTCTGTCGGTTTGGTGCACGAAGTCATCCAGCATCTATATAAATGATAAAACATGTCAAAATGTACATCATTATTATGACTGCCCGGTTTGAGTTTACACATACAGGGTCTTGACTGCTCATCGTACTCCTTGATCGCATCCCATCTTGAAGCCCGGCTCGGCCCCTGACAAGTCGGTCCCTCTGGAGCGAGTTGTCATTTTGAACGTGTTTTGTGAACTGAGTCAATGGGTTACCCGCGGTTGAACACTCAGGGCCACCGAGAAAGGACATCGTTGGCTCCAATGGAATATCAAGATAGTACACTAATAAGGAAGAAAAAGATAGAAGAACTCGCTAGTTATCGCTTCTATAACGGTAAAAAGCAAAGAAAGACACTTGTACAAATCGAAGTCGAAGTGATATATGAAGTATGGGTGGGGGAGTTTCAATTTTGCCTCGGATATACGAGCACACAATGAACTTATACCTAATTTAGCTTACCTAACTATACTCCTCCATGTAATTATGTCATGTGATTCTCGGGTAGATCCATACCGGAATTCCAGATCTGTGAAATACCGTAATGTTACGGTAGTGGCAACGTAACCACTACGTAGTAACTCAGCACAACGTTGAAACTACAATTGCGTAATATTACCTTTGTTGGTTGCCACAACTTGAGTCGGTATTCGCAACGTTGTCTTGCGTAGAGTTAATTGGAGTTAACTTGGTTAAGTGTATTTAACTTTAGTAATGTTTTGTATTGGAGTACAGCTAGCTATTTCTACCACAAGTACAATTACACCTACATACAAAGAATCTTCCAGAAAATTTCTAAGTCCACAAAAACTATGAAAACAGTAGTAGAAATCTAGCTAGTAGAATTGTAGAGAATCACCTACTAGCCTAGCTAGTAGAATTGTAGAGAATCGCCTACTAGCTAGGCTAGTAGGATAGTAGAAATCGCCTGCCAGCCTAGCTAGTAGAATTGTAGAGAATCACCTACTAGCCTAGTTAGTAGGATAGTAGAAATCGCCTGCTAGCCTAGCTAGTAGGATTGTAGAGAATCACCTACTAGCTAGGCTAGTAGGATAGTAGAAATCGCCTGCCAGCCTAGCTAGTAGAATTGTAGAGAATCACCTACTAGCCTAGCTAGTAGGATAGTAGAAATCGCCTGCTAGCCTAGCTAGTAGGATTGTAGAGAATCACCTACTAGCTAGGCTAGTAGGATAGTAGAAATCGCCTGCCAGCCTAGCTAGTAGAATTGTAGAGAATCACCTACTAGCCTAGTTAGTAGGATAGTAGAAATCGCCTGCTAGCCTAGCTAGTAGGATAGTAGAAAATCGCGTAGGCTTCTACTGTAGAAGAGAGTTAGTGAGTGACTTAGAGATTTGAAAAAGATGAATGAAAATTTTTCACCTGCTGATCATTTCCTTATTAGATTTAAAAATGTTGTTATTACCATATAGTAGATTCAACGTAGTAAGCTCTTACTACGTAGTAGTCAAAATACGTAGTAGTTACTGACGCCAACGTTGGCACTACGACGTGGTGGTAATGGCTACGTAACAGCTCGGAAAATCGGTAACCTGATGGTAGTGCAGAAATCCGGGATTCCGCTATGGATTGAAGACATAGGAACTTTCTACCATGTACAGAGTATTCTGTATAAAACTTGAGTTTGAGTGACACATCAAACCGTTTAATTTGTACTTCCGAACTAAAGCCTGATTTAAGGAGAAAATGAACTGGGAGCACAGGCATAAAACACTTCCCGATTATCCACATACACCAAGTATCTTACATTTTGACACAAATGAAATAAAAGCACTAAAGGTAAACTCCCACCATGAACAATAGAAGGCGTGAGTGATAGCAAATGCTCTGGTAACTGTCAAATTCACTTATCAACATTCCTAATGGCCCAAATGAAGAGCAATTTATTGCTTGTCTTTCAGCCAGTACTCTCCTGTTTACATTCTCAATTATGTTCAAGCTGTGACTGATGAGGTTCAGTCTCAAAGTTCGTGTCTTTTTGTTGATCAGAATCTTGAGCGCGTGACCTAGGGGTGCTAAAGCTGTAGTCTAGACGTAGTGGCCTGCCGTATGGTGACTGTCCATGTAGTATCGCAAAGGCCTTTTCTGCGCTCTCCGCATCCACAAATTCGGCATGGGCAAAGCCGCGGGCTTGCCCAGTCCGTCTATCAACGGCAACTCGGACGTCAATGACATTTTCAATATCTTTGAAAAGCTCGTGAAGGTCGCGGTCAGTCATTTCGAAAGACATGTTTCCAATAAATAAAGTGCGGGTCGGACGTTTCGTTTGGTTATCTCTGGGGCGACTGACCGGCTCATCATTCTGGGCGAAATTTACAGCTAATCGTCTACCTTCAAAAATTTGCCCATGCATGAGATTCACAGCCTTTTGGGCCGTTTCCACGTCTTGGAACTTCATATAACCGAACCTATTTATGTGAAAAACCAATTAGATACTTGGCTCAATATATAATGGCATTATCGTAGGGAAATGATGGCCGGGAAGAAAATGACTAGATGTCACTTACCCTCTACTAACACCCCGGGGATCGTAAATGATGCGCGCTGACTCAACCGGGCCGCATTTTGAAAATTCATTTCTCAGTTGGTCAGCAGTAACATCGAAAAAGATATTTCCGACGTAAATCACAGTCTTTGGCGTGGGAGACACACGGGGTGGACCGGTGGAACGGATCCGTGAACGGTCGTTTGGGGTGAAATCACCGGATTTTGTCACAGAGCTCTCGGCGATCACGGTTTCTCGCGACTCGGCGAATGAACTCGACGGTCCATTGTTAAGCCACCGCTGCTGAAGGCCATTTGGGGCAAGTACGCGATACGATTTATTTGGACGAGAGGCAATGGGAACACCAGTCCTCAGTTTAGTCAGAGCCCCTGGGCAGGCATGGCGAATACTGGGGCACAAGACACGTTTAAGAAGAAACCTGTGATAAGACAAGATAGGTTAATGATTACACTTTAAGATAATTTAGCTGTGGGAGAACAAACATATTTCTTGTTTTGATATAATTACTTAAAAGGGTGGACAGTTGGAATGCTAGTTAAAATTTTACAAGATGTGAGAATGTTGACTCGATATAAAACTTTTGCTGTAACTATTAACAAGTATGGAGTACAGAGTATGAGCAGTCCATACTGGAATCCCAGATTTTTCAATAATACCGTAATATACGTATCCACTTCGTAATGTTTAGTTAACTTGGTTAAGTGTATTTGACTTTCGTAACATTGTGTATTTTAGTACAGCTAGACATTTCCACCACAAGTGCAATTGCATTCAACTTACTAAATACGGAGTTCATATAAAGCACCTTCCAGAAAATTTCTAAGTTCACAAACACTGTAAAAATAGTGCAAATCATCTATCACCCTAACTGGTAGAAGAGTAGAAAAGTCAATTTTGAGACCATGCATGACGTTTTGCACTTATTGTGGAATGAAAGGTTATTACAATGCAGTTAGAAATATTACAATACAATACAGCTTCGAGAACAAATTACTACATAATTTTCCTGGCACAATGATGTAGCTCTCACAACCACACAATTCAGGAATACTACGGAGTACTTAGTACTCTGTACCTGTCATTCCTCTCCTAATTATTTTAAGGCTTTAGGTCCAATTAACTGCAACTCCATACAGCTTCGTTTGAACTACATTAAGAATACCAATTTTGGTAATATTACGCAACTGTACGGAGTAGTTTCGACGTTTTCTTGAGCTACCACGTAATCGTTGGGCAATGCTACTGTAATATTACGCAACGCCTTCATGCTCCTTGAGCTCTCTCCATGTTCTTTATGCTTTACTGTGCTCTTTTTCATGTACGTACGTTAGCTATAGCACCTAAATTGAATACGTTCGGCTTTAGTTGTGTGGTTGGTTTGTTGTTGGTTCCGTTGTTGCCTTCGATGGCGTGTCCCCCACGCTCCATGACCTAGCCGTGTGCGCTGCCTACTTCCTACATTGCCTCTGATCAGGCCTCCCACCGATCCCCGCTCATCACAGAGTATATCATAAAATATGGTCTTGTCTCCAACCTGTCCTTACAAACGAAAAGCCATTATGCTCAATACACCATGAGGTACCTAGGGTTGAAATTTAAATGTTTTTTATGTGTTTTGGGTAGCTCCTGTCAAGAGGACTGATCATTTTCCATCCTGTTGGCTAGCACAGGGCCTTGTGAAAGAGGTGGCTGCTCAGAATCCAATCCAACCCAGCCTGGATCAAACGAAGCTGATTGAATATAGGCGTCCCATGCTTCCTGCAATTCTAGGGTTAGTAACGGGAATGAAAAGACCTAGAAGTACTTAATATCTTAAAGGCAACCTAGAAAATCATACATACCCAGTCCAGATTGAATGGCTGCATATCTGGCATTTGCCCAAGCATTCCTAATGTGGTGCTTGATAATTGATCGATATTTTCCATACTGTCCTGCTGGGTCTGGTCCAGCCCTGAAATGGTTTTTGGAAGTTGTGGTGGGCTTGTCAGTCTTCGAGGAGTCATGCCACTACTCAGCAGCCCTAAAGTCATAGCAGCACTCTGCTTTTCATCTTGTGCATCAAACACCAATTTCGTATCAGGTATGATGCGCTTTTGGGGGCTGTGATTGAGCTTCTCTAATAGCAACCCCAAAACAACTGTACCTTTCCATGCATCCATCGAACTGTCTTTCAATTCATCCCAGATGTCTCTGGTCCGCTGAAGAGCAGTAAGCATTTCCTGCTGCCGATGAGCATCCCAGATAGTTTGAGTCTGATTCGAGCTCTGGGATTGATAATCATGGTGGAGGTCTAGTGCTATTATTGTACTGGCCATCAAAAAATCATGGAAATTGAATGAGCCTGAGTACCAAGGTCTATGCCTCAGTTTCCCGCCCGGGCCTGAAGCGTTGTGCAGTATAAGCTGAAAGTTGAGAAGCTCCATAGAACTATCAACACATGCACGACGAGAATAAGAATAACGCGGGTTTTTGCGCGCGCGATGGAGAAAGGGCCTGTGGAGAACACATTGGGCTTTGTGGTAGATGCTCATAATCTGGAATTTGGTGGTTAGATATGAAGTCGTTCAAGGCGTCCATGGGGGGTGACGTACCCCAAACCTTTTCACAACTAAATCTGCTGGATCATTATCACATTCGGAGAGTGGGCGAATTCGTAAGTGTTTCGGTACTATCTCACGGGCTTGACGTAGAGAATTATCGATTTCCATCAGTTCCTCATAGGTTGTGCCGTTTATCTTTTGGGAACATTCTAAAACGCGACCAAACGCCAGTGTAAGACGATATTTGACAATAAGATATGATATCGGCGTTGGTTCATTGAAAGGGCGCTCAGGAGGTAGCTCAATACTATCTTCATCAAAGTCATCGTCGTATAGACTTCGCGGACAATCAGTGTCGCTATCGCCCGAACGGATCATACTCGGTAAACCGACCTGAAAAGAAAATAAAAGATCTGCACATCGGATGAAACTCCAAAGCCGGCGGCGCATTTCACCATGGTATATGGAAACATTAGAGAACATTTTTGAATCTCGATGATAGCCCATACGCATCGCTAAACGAACTATTATACCAACCAAAACCCAAAGGGATACTTGGGCATCGTGACTCTGCGAATACTCGCCTTGGAGATGAAGGATCAATGTTTCAAGAACGTATGTATGTGGTTTTGTAAAATCTACAAAAACCAAACATTGTGCCATGGAAGATCTGTATGAACTAGCAGTATCTAAACATTTTCCACGAAACTCTGTTGGTGCATCATCGTCTCGATGATATGATAGAATTGCTAGTCGCATCATAGCGAAGAGCATCCCTATCCAGACTATACTAGTCTTTGATGGGTCCTGCCAGTGCTTCGCATACTGCAAGAAAATCAGTCAATCTACCCTGGCGTGCGAATCAAGGATGTTTGTACCTGTTTTTGAAAAGTTTGTGTGTGAATAAGATCTGTAATTGTCAGAATAACATTTCTCTTAGCCAGTCATGGTGGTCACTTACATATTGATGGGTCAAGTGTGTTGAAATAACGAGCAACTAAGATATCAGCTGTATATTTGGAGGGAAATAACGCCAGTAGTTCTGCCTTAGTTGAAGATTTCATGGTGCCAAATATTAGAGCAGAACTAGACAAGTCATGGTCACGGTTTGCTGCCCGGACCTTCTCCATTTGCTCATCGATTTGCTTTTTATGGCTCGCCCAGAAGTTCCTAACCTCTGCTATCTGAGGATGGTTAGCTTTAAATCGTGATGAGCACTTTAGGCACTTTATGTAGGCCGCCTCACATCATTAAGAATGGAGGTCCAATGAGCTTCACTTATATAGTACGACTTTTGATTTTGAGCGTCAACTTTCATTATCCCAAATGACTTAGTGACTTGCTCCGTGTCACTTTCTTCATTTCTACGATCGTTTGCAGCATCTGGTGAGGAGTGCTGCGGTGCTATGCCGTCTACTCTTCCAGGGACAGCTTCATTACCCGGACCAGATCCAGGGTGTTGGGCGCTATTCGTCATCAACGAGAGTACCACGCTTTCTAGTCGATCAATACGATTCTGCATATCATCCGGCGATGGAGGCTGGTGGCGGCTTGTTTGGAGCTTCTTTCTGTTACTTAGCTGGGCGTACGTGCAGGATAATGAATCTCCTCTCTTCGCGCAGTTTTCGCAAGGTGCCGCACGGTTACACTTCAGCCTGGAGAGAGAGATAACTCAATTAAAGGCAACGTCTAAAAAAAAGAATGGGAGCTGACTTTCGACTCCTGCACGGGCCACAGGACAACGGTATTCGATTTCGTCTTCGAACCACTCGAAACTGCCATTCTGGAGAATGGGTGCCCGGTGAGGGTCCTGATGGTGGAGTGGGGGCCATGGGGAATCAGAATTTTTATGGCGTTCGAGAGAAAAGCTGTTAGATATGGACAAAAAGTTAGTTATGTACTGTAGTTAGTTACTGAGGTTGGAGATCCCATAAGTTTGAAATCTGAGAGTTATGAATAAACAAACATACGTATTACAATACCAGAAACCATAGAGCACTGAAGTGTCAAATAAGGAAGGCCAAGATGTAGATACTACTTTGGATATGGTACGGAGTAGTTAACAGTTAACAATTAAATAGTTATGGAGTACGGAGTATGGAGTTCTCCGTACCATTTAGCCATTTAACTATATAACAAACAGTCTTGGCGAACCCATATTTCATAACTGCTCCGTGCTCCGTATTCCAACGGAGTATATGGGGATGGGTGGGGGGGCTATTGCATCAGGAGGCCAGAGAGTAGTATTTCCATTCCTGAATCATTCTCTCCGAAGGAACTTAAGTTCCCATATGATCTGGCTTTCATGCCATTGAATCATACTCTGTATGCATTCATCTACTATACGTTAGACAGAATAGTGCGGCGCAGCCTGTTTATACGTAGATGCTTCTTTTATACAGAATTTAGGTAAAGAAAGGATATCATGAGTATGACTAGCTGATGGGATGTTTCCCTGACATTTGCATAAAGAAATTCAAGCTTTCATTCAGCGGGCTCCTCCAAAACTCAGAAAGCATCAGCATACTTGAAGTAAAACCACTAGGCAATGAATGGAATGATGAAGGAAATATTTCCGATAAAATCCTCCTTAAAAAGAAAGAAGCGTAGTGGGATCTGGTGTTGTATTTGATTTGGCTAAAAGTTGGACATCAGATATCGTTTTCGTCCCCAAACCCCCAGCTGGGCAGAGCTGTATTTTGATTGCGCCTTTTTGCGCAGGTGCGCGAATGGCCGCCATTATTGTTTTTATTGTTCAAATCATCGTCGTATTTATCCCAAGCCGAATCCATCATTTGAGTTACTCTAGTTCGGCCAGTGCCTAAATGCGTTATTTTACCGGGTTCCCCTTCTGATTGTCCGTCAGTCAGGTCCCAATGGCTGTCAAAGTCCTTCTTGCGGCTCGAAAGGTCTGGCACAGTTGAAAGTACGTTTGATTCTACTTGTGGCCTCACGTTGCCAGCGGTGTCGATATATAGGTTATTATGATAGAGTCCAAGATATGTACTGCTTGTTGTTCCCTGGGAATTATTGGCTGATTCTTGTTTTGCTTTGTGGGTGCCGTTATCTTCAAACACGAAGTGGGCTTCGATATCGCGCCTTGGGCGAGAAATCTTAGGCTTGGGTTTTGGCGTATCAGGTGCCTCACAATCCTCATCACTCCAGGTAAAATGACGGATATCTTGCGCTCGAGTTTTTTGACAAGGTTTTTCCGGTGTCACAAAGTCTTCAAAATCCCACTGCGATTCATGCTTGGACGATCGAGGGCGCACGGGTATATGTGAAGTAGTGCTGCTGGGGGAAGCTTCTCCCAATTCAAAGTGAATAGCCTCTTTGGTAGGTTTCGTGCGTTCGGGAGGTTCTTCGCCAAATTCAAAGTGGTTCTGCACTCTACTTGTTTTTGCTACTTCCACTCTTGCTGGAGCCTTTGCTTCACCGAATTCAAAGTGGTCGTATGTCTTGGGGTATTTAGCACTGGGAGGTGGAGCTTTTGCTTCCCCAAATTCGAAATGTTCAAGTATCCGGGAGGTAACTTTAGGCGTTGAAAGAGACCTATTTTGGCATTGATCTCCTTTTTGGGGGGTTATCAATGCAGCGGAAATGACAGGCTCTGCCTCACTCGAATGTGGCCCGTCCAACAGTCCAAACGGGGGCGGGGGAGGGTGCGGGCTCTGGTCAGAAGTAATTTTTGGAGGAGAATCCTGCTGCATTTTGATATTCCTCTTCATCAGAGCTTTTGCTGCCATTGAAATAGAGGAAATTGCCAAACGTGACTGTTCTGTTCCATCACGTATCGGCCAATTATAGTGACGCGGGCCGATAATGTCCACCTGTTTTAAAAGCGCACCCTGGTCCCAGAAGATTCTAATTTGAGAAATCTTGCTGTCACTATCAAAGTGGGCGATATGTATCTGTACACCCAGGCGATTAGCAACAATCTGATCGTGCGGACAGGCTTGTAATCAGGCATCATACCAATGGAAATATCACCCTGCGATTAACCACAAAATTATCATCCAGTGCAGGGAGATAGGATCCTCCGTTTGTAACAAATTCCAATGTCAATTCAAGTTCGAAGCAGAGTGAATCAATCCCCTCCACCACATTCAAGATTTTTTCGCCCATATTCTTGACTGCATGGCGCTCCTGAATTAAGTGTTGTATGACATTGCTTGCGCCCATAAATGTTGTAGTTGTCGGGATATAATGCAGGGACGCGTCTGGGGAGAGGATCTCTTCTGCTGGTGTGGCCAGAAACTTCTCATATAGGTCCCTGATAGACATGATTCTGTGGATGGGGAAAAGGCTAGTAGGGATAGGTTTGCGAGTGATAACAGTGTGTTTAAAAGCGCGTAGGGAAATATGTCATATTATGCCGAGTCTGATGTCTTTGATCGAGTCAGAGAGCGATTTTGACAAGGGGCAGCCAAGAACTTATTTAAGTAAGTACCTCGAGTGAAACAAGATCAGGAGCCCGATATATGTATATACGTCCTAGGAACAATTGATTGACTTGTGTATTAATTATTATTTATTGGAACATTTGTGTGACTGTTGTTGCTGGTGGTTACAACATCTGTTTGTTGATGTTTACATTGTGTAAGAGTGTTATTCATTATTGTTTTTAGGCTCCTATGCAGTCTAAGACTATGAAGAGCCACTCTCCCTAATCTGGCTTAGTTACAGCATGTGTTATCCATGATATCTGGACTCCTGTCACTCCACTCTGTTGAAATCTCAAACTGTTGTTATAGTGATGTATGGAGTACTCCATAGCTCTGTCTCAACTTCAACATTACTCTGTAGTTACTATCTAGATGCATCTATGTGTGTGGTATATAATCCACACATATGTACTCCATTACCTACCATTTACCATTTGGTGCAACTTAGTTACTATTCTATTCAATATCTAACTATGTATGTATGCATAGATGCAGTAAACATACTCCATACACTCACACATGTTGCACTGAAGTAACAATCATGGGTTATGAAATATTCTTGACCCTGTATGAAGTACTGTGTATGGGGTACTTCCATGTTTTCTGAAACGCGGGGTAACTAGCTAACTAGTTACCCTAGTTAACTATGACAAACTAGGTAGATAGTAGTTTGGAAGGCTTCCATATGTTCCCCTGCATTAGTTCCAAAGTCAACACCAAAGGACGCAATTAGCGTTTCAGATTTGTTTGGAGTTGTGATTAGTTCAGTAACAAATTCATTGCTAGAAGCCTAGAATAGTACGGAATACAGTGTAAGAACCTGGTTTTGAAAGAAATCCTGGAGATCAACATCCAGAATGCATTTGACACCCACAAAGTCTATTGAAGTATTTATTACTTTTTTTTACCCTGGATCTCGCTTTTTGGATGGCCAGCATTTAAAAGTGCACCATCAGCCCTGCGTGAGTCAGTATAGAATTAACACATCACCAAAGGCTCTGAAAGTACAATGATGAAGCTAATATCGGATACTGCATATGTTGAGAAACACGCTCAAATTTTTTTAGGACAGTTTCCCCTACTTTGACTCTTTGAGAATATTATTGACGCCTGAAACCGCCCAATATGCTGTAAGATTGTAGCATCGCTCTGTCAATTTCGATATCTCCAGCCAGAGTAAATACAACTGCATTCTGCCATGAATGTGCTGGAGTGGGGAACAGAACTTAAACGGAGAGATACCCCTCAGAGAAGCAAAGACTCCGGGAGACTGGCCTGCCACTGGCTGCCGCAGCTGAGTAGGATGCTGTCACAACTAATCTCGAGTGACCTATAGCGTTCTGTGGGTAACTCTCTGTTAGCAGCGATCAATGCACCCCTGGATTGAAGACGAACCCAAGGTAATCTTCTTTGATACTTCCGATGGCAAACATGTTTCGTACATCATTTCGGAGGCCAATCAATTTTATTCTTAAGTTAGTGCCCTTTTCAATGACTTGGTCGGCATTATCTGTATACTGTGCAGGCGTCGCGTCTGGATCCCATTTTATTTCGGGTGGGATTAACTTCGAAGCTTCAGTATAAGAATATTTTCCCTATAATATTGGAAGGGATATAATGCGTACGTGTTTAGACACAAAGACCGTAAGGGGTCCTACTTCAGCGAAGATTCCTTGGTTCTTGACAGATGTCACAATGGCATCCACCTTCATAGCCCCGGATTAGCAACAGCGGCAAAAGCACAGGCTAAACTCAACCGTACCGTCTCTCCCTTGAAAGGCTTCCACACAATCGCTCGGTACATAATGGTGTATTCTGCCATCCCGCTGCCTGGAATGATGCGTCCCTCTGAAATGTCATATGTATCCATCACGCAAACAATGTAGTAATCTCCAGTACATATTCCTTCTACATCATCCAAAAGCTTCTGAGTCAAATATTCTTTAACATGTGACCCAAAAAAAGAAGGATGGAGAGTGAGAACGTGTTCCAGAAAATGAATAAAAAACATGGCAAAAATTGGGAACAAGGTAAAAAGGGTAAATGGGTAGGCTTGAGAAAGATGAGCTGAAATCTAGCCTGGGGCTTTAGGCTTCGATAAGGGTTATTTAATCCTTGCGAGCATCAACGGGCCTGGACCTGGATTATTTCGTAGATATTCAATGGCGGAGGGGAAACGCAAGTTAAAAATAAAAAATGTATATATGTACATATGTACTGTATAGTTATGTACTTCAAAGTCAAGGGAACAGTAATTCAAGTAGCAGGTTTATCATAGAGCTAGCTTCAACTTCATAAAAGCCTTAGAACAGCTAGAATGGGGAGTAAATAAAAGTTACAGAGTACTACGTTCAATTGGTACCTAACTATGTGTTGAGCAGGAGTCAGGTGACTTGTCAGGTGACCAGGTCCCCAAAGGAGGAACTGGAGAACTGTAGGTTTGCCACCTCCTCTTCTCAACCATGGTACCAATTTCATTATCTTTGTCTATTGGACTGATGGAGATTTGCTAGAGATTTTTTATATGTTTTTCTCATAGTCTCAGTTATAGTATGTTTATCTATAAGTAGCTGTGTCTTATTCATTAGAAACAGATTAGATGCAATATTATAGACATTCAGTCATATAATTATTATGTGCTTCTATGTTGTCTAATAGTTATGAGTCTGAACTATTTTAAGAATTTGATTATTATCTAAAGATACATTTAAGTTACTTTATTTTAATCTTGTTATTCATATAAATAGAGATCACTATTAAGTATTTTAAGATCATATATTGAACTCTCTATTTAAGCTTAAACTTTAATTGTAAAGTTCATAAAGATCTAATGCATCTATATTTTACTGATCTAAATCTATAAAAAATTATAATTTAGAGTCAATGTCTCAACTTCAATAATTAATTAAAAATGAATAAATTGTCTAGAAGAGTTATTATGCTGAATAGTTCTGATAACTGAAAAGAATGAATTGAAGACATTAAGTATTTAGTAAATCTTCACTAATTGTGACTGTATGTTGATTCAACAAAAGAAACACATTCTGAACTTTAAGAATCTGTTATAGAGAATTTTCTTTCTTCTGAAAAAACTGAAGAAATCATAACTTCTATAGATATGAAACATGTAAGAAATATGCAAAGAGATTAATACAAAACTTAAAAGAAGAAAATCTTAGTAATGCAAGAGATATAGAAGACAATAAGAGATTATGTAAATTCATCTCTAAAAATTCTTACAATAAGTAAATTAAATGATGTAGAAGCTACTGCAAAAGAACATCTGAAAGCTTTATATGTTAGAAATATAATGAATGCTTTTTAATTAAAAGCTAGACTAGTAAAGAGATTTAAAATTTTAGAGAACTGATTAAAGAATTAAGTAATTAAAGCATATTTACTGAACTATGAAGAAGTATTAAATTGAGCTACTGTGTATGATATGTGTGAATATATTTATGAGTTTTTTATCTTTAAATAATTTCTGAGAGTGATCACTCAGCATTATAGAGAGTTCTTCTATTTGTATCTGTCAAAGCTTCTAACAGAAGAGAATTTAAATAAGAAGCATGAGCTGAATGTTTATAGACATATTTAAATATTTCAGCAGACATTAAAGAAGAATACTGAGTCAGATCAACAGAATAAACTGTCAGCATATTTCATCAAAAAAATAGTTTAAAATAAGTTATTGAGAGAGAATAATGAAAATATGAATTCAGTATGTTTTTATGAAGAGTAACATGATTGAATGTACTGTTCATATTTTAATTCACTTATTCAATCAATGGACTGAAAATCAGATTCAAAAATTGATAATAAGATCAAGAAAGTATTGAAGAATTCAGTGAGTGAAAAAAAATTAAGAAAGAAGATTGCAAATTGAAAGAAATTGAAGAATTGAAATATTAATAAAGAAGTTGACACTTCAGATGATGTGATAGATAATGATGTTAACAAAGTCATTGTCAAGAAATCTTCTAATCTGACTATTTTTACTTCTGTAATAGTTTTTAACTTCACTAACATAAGCAACAAATATAAACTCTATTCACTATGAAACAGCTTCATATTAGATGAAAGTGCAGATGCACATATTTGCAATAATTTTACAAAATTTTAAAACTACTGAAATGCTGATTCTTTAGATATTGTGCTCATTGAAAATACTCATTGTAAATTTCATGAATATGATAATGTTGAAGTTTATATTTAAACATCAGCAGATGCTGATAAGATATTACTACAGAATATTCTCTACATTTCTGACTTTTATATAAATCTAATAGTACATGAATTACTGCATGTAAAGAGTTGTTATTTAAATAATGAGTCTCTTACAGTTTACTACATCAGCACAAGAGATATCTTGTTTAATTTAACTGTTAAAAAGAGAAAAATGATCATTGAATACAGATCTATTAATATTGCAACAGACAGTATAACAAAGAGTGTCTTTACTGTCTTGTTAAGTGAAGATTTAATTAATAAATCAGTGACAGTATTGATCTTCAGTTTGCTAGAAATAATAAATATTTGACATTTGAGACTTGATCATCTGAAAAGAGAGTCTCTGACTCATCTTCTGAAAATATCTACTAATGTAAAATTTAAAAATCTAACAGTAAAGTGCAGATCTTGCACTCTTTTAAAGACAAAGCAAATTATACACAGAACACTGTTAAAAAGATCTACACATCTATTCATAAAAATGTCTGTTGATCTCATACAGTTTGCTTCAGATTATAATGAAGATAGATAAATGATGCACTTATATTATAATTATACTCATCTGCACTACATGAAAATGATGCAGTGAAAATCTGAAAGTTTAATGTGCACAGTAAAAATGATAAGAGTAATTTTCAATTTATATCAATTAACTATCTTAACTATTTAAATTGATGAAGAAATCTCTATGCAGTCAGAACTGACAGTGTTGACTCAAACATATAATATAGTTGTTCAATGTTTGACACTCTACACACTGACTCAAAATGAAGCTGCAGAGTGTGTGGAAGCTTTAATAATGATGACAGTGTGTACAATGTGAATTGAAGTCAATTTATCTGAGAATTTGTGGTCAGAATGTGTCAAGACTGCAGTGTATATTTTAAACAGAATTTTGATGAAAGATCTTGATTGAAACACTTCTCTTGAATTCTTGAGAAAATATCTTCAAACCACAATCTCTTTAACTGAAATTAGACATATAAGAGTTTTTGGCTGTAGAGTGTATTCTTTAATTAAGAATGCATAATATGAAAGAAATCAGAAGCTGACTTCTAGAGTGAAAGTTGAATATTTTGTTGAATATAAATCAATAAATATTTTTCACATTTGAATTTCAGTATGACAAAAGATTATATTAATGAGAGATGTTATATTTGATGAAGATATGCTTTTTAATTGTAATGAGATCAGCAGCAAGCTTTTATTATAGAAGAGCTTTGTTGTGTCAGAAGCAATATCTTTTGTTAAAGTAAGTAATGTTAATAAGATGAACTTAAGCAGACATAACAGTGAAGATGAAGACACTGACAAAAATACATCATGTAAAAGTCAGAAGATCATTGATCAGTTAATAAAATTAATAGAAATAATAACTAAGACACTAACTGATCAATCAGAAGAGATATGTGTGTGATCAACATTAAAATTAATATTAAAGCTGTTAACTTTAAACATCTACACTCAATTTCTTCTGAATGATTCAACAACATCATTGACTGAAATAGAGATACTAAATCAACTTTCATTAACAGTTAATCATTCTGTCACAGAAGCTACAGAGATGATGACTGATGTTGTAATTAATTCATCTAAAGATATAACATCTACTATACTTTCTGTCACTAACTCTACAGAAACAGTGAGCACAAATGATGAATAATTAATAGTCAATTATTCTACTGCAGAAGCAGTGAGCACTAATGACAGAATTTCAACAGTCAATTATTTTGTCATAAAAGTGATGAATGACTCAGCTGAAGCAAGCTTAAATGAGCAATCTCCATCTTCTAGATGAAGTGCTAGAATAAGATGTCAAAACACAGATTAAATTGACAGACAAACAGTTTATACAGTGATTCTGCAGCAAACAGCACAATTTAATTCATTTTATAGAGACTATTTAACAGCTTTTACAGTTACAAATTCTAGACTTCACAGAGGGAATCTTCTGAAGTCTCTGAAGTATTATTTTTTAATGTTGCAACATGTAAGAATATCACATTTTCAAATATAATCAAATTTATATACCATATATTGTCTTATATAACATGTGTATAACATGTATAACTTCTATAACATTTACAGAGTCATATACATAAATCTTGATTAGATATAAAGTTTGATCTATAATTCTTTTTGGATTAGTTCAAATCTTATTGTATAAAAGTTTATTTCAAACTTTATTTTCTAATAGAGTTACAGCAATAAGATTACCACCATAAAATTATTAATCAAGAAAAGAATAATAAATTGAGGTGGCAAATCACATCATAATATGATATTACATCATATAAGATGTCATCATATATGACATCATCAATATCATCATAAAATTCAATGTTGCATAGTTTATTTTCAAGATTAATAAACTATTGCACATTATATTCAACTTTAACAAGTTTTATAATCAGTTATACCAACTTTCTATAAATCTACATCATAGATATTCTGATTTATAGAAAGTATCAGCCACTGAAACCAGAATTTATAAAATGCCTCATATAATAATTCAGTTTTCTAAAAAGTATAACTACTTTTTACAAAACTATTGCAAGTATTGCACAATATACTGCATCATACTGCATCATA